TTGTCATGCAAATTTACATAAAACAAACGCGATGATTGTCGTCAGATTAATATATAAAACAGTGCTTCTAACTTAACGAATAAGGTTGTGGATTTTATACCTTTCTTATGTTTCCAACCATTCGAAGTGTGTTACCAAAATAGTTAATGGCATTGAACATTGAATCATCTAATACAAACCAAACCATGTTTGAAGGACGAGTATGAAGGACTAGAAATGACAATATTAGGAAACTGTGACGTCATCGGGTGGGGTCAATTGTTCAATTAACCTATGAAAGTAAATGTAGTGTGTGTGAATATCCCATTTATTCGATACCAGGGCGATGGCACCTGCATTGACGACGAACACACACTAGGTTTTACCTTCCGCCAATTTAAAAATCACAAAAGTGGTACGTGTTCTACATACAATTAACGCGCCTGGTTAGTTTTACTGATCATTGATAACAAATATATTTATTTTATCACCAGATCCAGGAACCGAGGGTGGGTGTTTGTACTCGCATCAAAAATCACCAATAGTGATCGACAACCTTCAGTAGAATGGTCACATGTTAACAAATAAGTGAATGAACCATGTGTGGTATGATATGTTAAAACTATGAAAATATCAGAAAATAGGTATAATCACTAAATTCATTTATTGAAATTTGAGTCGGATGTCATCTATTTGTGTAAATTAACTTGGTATGAAATGTTGAAATGAACACGGGATCAATGACGGTCTGAGATAAAAGAGAAACCCGATTCCCCAAACTAATCTACAGTCTATGTCATTGTTTATTTTTGTATCAAACGATCGGTACAAACTCAACCATATTTTCGACGTGTTTTGAACGGCTGTCAGTACGGCGCGGACTGAAATAACTATGCTAAAAATAACGTCAGTGTTTTGTATACGTGTATACACAGACGGGAAGCTAATTTCCGATCTATCAGATGGGGTTTTAAAAAGTCAATTAAAATTGTATGACCACCACAGTCAATTAAACATGGTTCAATCGCAACCGATGAGGCAATCAATATAATGACTGTCATTATTGTCATTATAATGATTGTTATTTTTATCAGCAACTTTAGCTGCAACAATTATATTTGTAGTTATCTTTATAACATCATTCATAATGTACCACTGATTTAAATGAAAACAGATAACTTCCTAAATTACCACACAATTCCATGTGTCATTCTGGAAGTACAGTTTACTTGACGCGAACAACGCAGGGTCTACTGAGTTGGAAAATGTCTCATCATTGCCAACTTCAAGGTCGGTTTGGCATAGTCCAATTTTCATTCTTGCGGAATAATTTTCTAAGACATTAAGACGTTAATATGTGTGTTTAGACTACAAACCATTCGACTCCATGGTGAGCATAGTTCCCCACGAGTTTTACTAATCATTAAATTGCATCATGCTGTTTTTTATAGTTTGTCTATCTAATTTGATTTCCAGTCTTATATATTGTCATATCGCTCGTACGAACACCCATGATGGGCGTTGTCAGAATTCCCTCGGGCGACGCTTGTATTGAAACAATATCAAGCGTATTTTCACATTGCTATCAAGCAGCAAGCGCGATTTCTAAAGCAATGCCCGTGTCGCTTTTAGCAAATATGGGCAGCTGAAAGTGTATGGCACCACGTGTAATAAGATAATTCGTAAAACATTATCACTTGTGACAAACTAGCCTGTAAATCATTTCACCACGATGTGGAGTTGTTAAATCACTTTTGTATTTTTATTCAATGTATTTCGGGAAACTTATGCGGGTGTGTTGAATCACTGTCCTATCATAAAATATGTTTTGAGTCATGTGATGTATCAATTCGAATCACGCCCAGACACAAATGTTGTACTCTGCTTCGTTATCCTGATGTCACTATTCGAATAAAGACCACAGGTTCATACTACCTCCCATTTACAGTCGACACATTTATTGACATGGTGGACGGAATCCACCAAGATTCTGTATTACCGGAATGGGTCCCGCTAACGGTCATTCGATGAAAGGCGAGTCATGCCGCTACCACTGGAAGCAGTTCCCCTATCACAAGACTCTTCAGGACAAGAACATACAGCGACATATTGCAGGAACGGTGAACGGAATCGAAAACGGATATGCTGGCAAATTGTACAACGCCAAAAAAAAGTTAGTATAGCCTGTATGTAGTATGTGCTAAACTCACTAGTGCATATTACTTATGTTATTGAACCATCCTAATCGATTTAATTGGTTAACAGGGAACAAACGAACGCATTTAAAACATTATTTAAATTATGAACTCAGTGTGTGTCATTTTGTAACCAATTTATTTGCATATACATATCCAATGTATTTCATATATGCAGTGCAGATATTCGTGTGCCATATAAAAAAATCATTTGACAGTGACGAGGAATACGTGTACAAAACGCCAGATGAACTCAACTGTTTCATTCGAAGGTGAAATCATTTAATTATTAACTAAATCATTACTTAACATTATGTTTGTATCAATAAATAACTTATTCTGTGTCATTTTTTTTCTATCATGTCTGAAATAAACAAAATTGAAAGATATCTTAAATACATTCCAAACCTACATCTTCTACACAGGAAGCACATGTAGTTAGTTCTCCTAGAGCGGTGATAATGATTGATATTTGATTAGTCTAATTATACTACCTGACACACTAAGGTCACCAAGTGATAACAAATAAATGTGATTGACAAAAAAAATTGTTCTCGGAACTAAATGAGTTCAATAGTTTTTTTGTGTTTGTTATACCTCCCGCGTGATTAGAGATAATTCTTAAATTATAATGCTTTTTTAATTGATTAGTCTAATTATACTACCTGACACACTAAAGTCATCGAGTGATAAAAATAACCTCGAATGGATAAAAGAATAGTTGTTCTGGGAACTAGATGAGTTCAATAGTTTATTTGTGATTGCTATACCTCCCGCGTGATTGGAGATATTTTTTAAATTTAATGTTTTTTTAATTATCTTGATTGTATGGGGAACGTTTCTGCCGCACGTAGATTGAACTCGCATTCATGATTTGAACAGCAATACATCAGCATGAAAAACAACAGTATTTGAACATACAGCGGGTATATGCTGAATTTTGTATACAATATATCTATCATTGTACAGTGGGTTCGCAATTTTACGAAGTACGTTCCCCGTGATACTTACGCCGTGAATTTAATTTTAGTTCATACATTTAATTTTATTTTAACTATATTTTTTTAATTATTTTGGAATTCGACTGTTGCATTGTTCTGGGAAATATATAATATTATAACTGTTTTTCATTCTAGTTAATTATGTCCAGTGTTTGGCAGTGGCTAAATAAATGAACCTTGGCTGGCGAAGGTGCAACAGGAAGTGAACATATTTGTTAGAAATGAAACAATATTCAATAAATGACATACATTGTAATATGTTGTGGAATCTCATTTGCAAATAAAACATACTGTAAAGGGGGTAATTATTCACTGGGTTTTAATTTAGCTTATTTCGCTGACTGGAAAAATGCGCTAAATTAAAACACAGTGAATATGTACAATTTAGCATAACACATTATCTAAATGACGAAACCGTGAATTTAAAACCCACTGAATATGCCTGAAATAGTAAATCAGTGAAATTTAAACCCAGTGAAAATTAGTCATTTTACAGTACGTATTTCTAGTAATGGTTTATGCGAGTTAATTTATTGGTGGAAGAAATATAATGTACAGGAAGATTGTCCGTACAGTATTGCTACTCTGAAAGATATGAACTGCAAACAATTGCAATTATCCTCGCTAATAACTGACAATTTTCGCCGTGGTAGTGGTGTGAAATTTCGAAATAAAACCTGTGAACATAAAGCACAGTTTTATTGCGAGAATCCAAATTCTCACCAATTCATTGGTGCGACTCAAACTTATCGCTCATAAATGGAGAGCATTATCAGAGGTCAATATAAACTGGCGAAACAATTTATCTATATGACAGAAATCAACAAATTATCACCAATACCGATGAGAGCATTAATCTTGCCAATTTTTACCAATTTGAGATGCGAGTGAATGTAGAAATACTGCAGTCAATCGAAAATTTTAGCATACTGCAAATAAAACACATAATAGTTTAAAATAAATAAATTCTTTACACAAAAGAAAATTTGAATTTAACTATTAATATTTTGTTCTATCGACAAACATTGCGTCATTCATAGCAAAGCATTTTTTCTCATTTTTGGCTGCCGTGTGCCTAGCATACAGTGGAAGTCTGTGTGGTTAGTGTTTGTGTGTGTATGTGTCTGTTCCACTGATATCTCAAAAACCAATTAACAGATTTCAATGAAACATAGTATATAGATACTCTGAAATAATTTGCAGACATGTTGAGTTTTTCGTTGAAATCCGTGTTTATTGATTACCTAATTTGCTTATTATTTAGCCAATTGTAAGCATTTTCACAATTATACGGTTGAGATTATGGGAAACCAAATATAAAAATTATTCACATTGATTTTATTATGTTAGTTCATTGACCATGTCTCTTGCATGTGTCTCTTGCATTTATCGGTTACAAATAAACAATTATTGTGTCCTGTCGTACTATTTATATAAGTAGACATTTCATGAATTTTGATTGAACAATTTTAAAACAATTGATTGAACAATTTTGAAACAATACTGAACAGACAGAGTTCAAGGTCTGTACATCGAGTTTGGGAAACTGCAATTCAATAATATAGCTGTTGTAGGTAATAGAACAATGGCTATGCATTTTGAAGTATATATTGTGGTTCTGCTCAAGATTGTGTAGACTTTGTGGGGGAGATTCAGTTAATGTTTAACATAGCTGGTATTATAATTCACTGTAGGCCGGGGTCGTTGCACTGTATTATTATATACCGTTATGCAAGGCACCAACTTTTAGTGAAAATCACAGACCAGAAGGCAAGACAAGATATATAACAAATATATAAAGTCATATTTATTTAGCTTGTCATCATCACCCAGTGTCTTCTTCGATTCGAAAGTTGACAACAAGACTGCACCACAAAACTCTGTTCTCAGTTTTTTTCTTAGCACTTCCAAAGATCTCCGTGTTTGTCCATGTTGTGATGTCCCAAGTTTTTCTAGGTCGTCCTCTACCTCGATTCCACTGCCCTAAATACTTATATTCTTTTACATCTTCTAGCCTTGTCCCTTCTGCCTTTCTTGGCATAACTTTAGTTTTCTTTGCTACTGCTAACTGTACATATATAATTAATTCAGTATTCCGTTTTTGTACTTCATGCCTCCAATACCTTCAGCTCACATAAGTTCTTTCCAAGCTTTATTTGATTTTTAAATATTTCCTGCTGGACAGAGCTTCGCATATTCAGATCACCGAAGCAATGACGATCTAAATGGTTCATGTCTGGCCGTGTTTAGAATTAGAATTAACGGAATGGTAGCTGAAGACACAGTTCCTCTATATGGTAACTCTCGGGCTTATCCTTAACACAAATTGACGACAGAGGCGGAATCTTTTTGTTTCACATATTGTAACTGTTTGTTAATTATTTCCTCTAGTGAGCGGCATGTCGGCTAATATAAAAGGCCAGCTCTGATTGGCAGTAGCATAAACGCGATTCGTGTTGTATTGTGTTGTGATGTCTTGTGCATAACACACAGTACATTTCTCTCATTGTGTTATACAGTACATTTCCCTTATCCTACACTGTAAAATTGTGCAGTACATTTACATCATATGTAGCATATCTCTTATGTTATCCAGTGTACTGGGATGAAATACAGTGCATACATTGTGCTATGCAATACATTGAAATTATATGCAGTACATTGTTTATGTTAAGCAGTACATAACCATTGTATGCAATCATTTTCACGGTATTGTATTGCTTTTCGGTTACCAAAAACATACTAAGCATGTATTTAACACAATAATATTTCGAGCAACTGGAGTACAAGCCAAATTAAACCAGACATATATAGTCCCAGACAGTCGATGCAATTCTCTGGTGAACGATAAGCAAAATATCATTTCAGCAGTACATACAACATGCACCGTTTAACCATAAGTGGCATAACAATGAAAAATCAATATTCTTCTCTGTACATAATGAATTTCTAAGGCATCGATGATTCGTTGCAATTATTGTGACAACAAATAAAATGTTATGGAATATCTCGCCTTGTACTTTGTGGTTTAACAAATCATACACTCTATATTCACCGACAATAACAATGACCTTGGAAATAAGTCAAAGTTCATCACAGTAAGTCAATGTCACAATCGCACCAATACACAAATACCATACAGCAACAACGTTTCCGCTGGTGTTTATATAGGAAAGGAGTCGCCAGATGTAAGAAAACGTGTACTGTAATATCACATCGAATGTCTATGCAAAGGATTTCATCGGAGTGTGAAATAACAACTAATAATGCTCAATGTTTAATTTGATTAATCACTACTAACACATTCGTGGTATTTACATATTCTATTCTAGTCATAGCAAACATGCACTTTCACACGGTGATGATGATACTCGTGTTTAAATTAACATACAGCCTTCGTTTTGAGTCGAATACACGTGATCTTGATACCGTTTGAACCCTACAATTTCAACAAGAACTTTTTGGGTTAGCGCAAGAAATCGCCTCTACAATTAACAATTCAAAATAGCCAATCCATCATTTTTCTTTCATATAGGACTCGGGCCATGCATACTAGCTACATAAAAATAGAGCTAATAAAACACTGAGACAAAAGGCTTTCACTCAAAGAGTTGTTAACACCTAGAATAAATGACCTGAAGTGGTTGTGGAAGCCCCTCAATTGATGCTTTCCAGATTTTATCCCTATAACGGAGATAGTCCTGATTTTATATGAATATAAATTAGAATGCAGAACATTGATCCTTTTCATAACCTCATATGATATAATTTTAATGTATCTCCTTTTAAATTCTAAAAACATCCAACCCGTTCAATAACTTTATATGGTCCCTTCAACTTAATTCTCAACATGTGGCTGGGGGGTAATGAGAGTACTTGGTGACCTATATGTTATGGCTTATATGGGCCCTGTTCTCCCCCGTTCAAGAACTTTTTTTATAGCCCTTGCCAACTGTATAGTACCCGGTGAACCCATTTAAGTGTCCCAGTTCTAGTCTTCTTATCCAAATGCTTCACAGTACTACACATTACACCACTCTCTATTTTGATCAAACCATATTCAGATTTGCCCACTCCCTGTCCCGCAGGATGGATCCTCCTATGGGTACTTCCCGATACATAAGGTGCGCAAAGATGTCATTGTCATCATTCGCCCCTTTTATAACACAAAATCTCCCATTAACCTATTCTGGAACATCAAGTACTGAATTTCCTGATTTATGTAGCAAGCATACGTACTCCTGGTTTAATGGAATTTGGGAAACCATTGAGAGCAAAATTTGACTAAAAACTAACGTCAGTGGCATTTAAGGATTGTTTTTATCAATAACTGATAATATTGTATATATACATATCGGAAACCTGTAGTGCCGTGTGTTGCGACTAACATCCATGACTTAGTTGGAAAACCTGTCCATGTAATACTTGGAGAAACATCAATAAAATGATGTTTATTGTGTTTGGCATGACATAACAAAATGTTGATGGATATTTATTAATATTGTTTTATGCTACAGTTGTGATAATCCGTTTATCGAACCATAGCATTGAATGTTACTAGGGTTGACATAGCCACTTTCACCAAGAGATTGTCAATATAGTCTTAATATATGCAATTTGTCACATTATAACGAAAAGTATATCATTCATTAGAAAAAAACAATATCAATTCATTTTGTAGACGATCGTTTGCTTGATTTGCCAGCGGCCTCCTTGAAACACGCTGGTAGTTATACGGATTAATTTTACATATTAAATTGATGATCGATGTAAATCAGCTGAGGTGTCTTCATGAAATAATTGATTTTCTCTCCGAAATATACTTATGATGTGATAATAGAAAGCATTTGGATGAAACTAGACACTTGTCAAACGCAATTATCGCGTGCGGGCATTTGGGCTCGCAACCAACTCAGGAGTTCGCTTTCAATTGTACAGTTATTATTTATATTCAACAACGTTGCAACCCATCAATGCATTAGATGTTATACTGTCTCCAATATTATTATATCTGATGTGTTAGGTAGACATTTATAATGAAAGATGAACACAGTTTGTCGTGTTTCATTTTGTTACGTGTAACGCAGTGATATAAAAAGCGTCATTTACACGTCATTTTTTCGCAATGTTAAAATAAATATTCTACAAGATAACCGCTGCTATTATTTGTGGCAGTACAGAATATTATACCATTGGAGAAAGGGTGTGGTGATATAACTGTCCAACTTTAAGGAACAGTAAATCCTACAATAAAATAGAATATTATTTAACTCAGGCGGTTAAACTCTTTAACTGTGCCATTTCATTTGACCTTAAAACTCGTTTGGTTCACAATGTAGCCAAAATAAGGCCTTGGAATGTTTGTCTAATTAACTTTTCATAAATTCAGTATCAAACATTTAAATGTGCATATTTGGATGTTCGTATTTTATATCCTGTGATTGTATTAGACATTAAACTAAATCTGGATCAGTGTCGACGAACATGTATACTACAATTTAACGTTTTCTATGTAAAATGAATACTAACTCTAATCGTTAATGTTAATTAACTAATCACAGAAAATACAAGACACAAACTGATTTCGTCATTCATTTGAATCATTGCACCTTGTTCACAAATCCAAATGTCCAAGTGAAGTACAGATGAATTCCAGGAACACACTAAGATGCCTTACTGTATTACTAGCTTATTAACGAATTAAAATATGTTCGCTAAACAATGACATGTTCCGTTCTTGTTATATTAATACACATCAATATAACAGACTCATGGCCTTTTTCGTCAATTCGTTTCAATTAATTCCGTCATGTCACCATGGCAATACTTCTATTAGGCACATATACATCACAACAGCTAGGCATAAATCACGCGAGTTGGAAATTGAAACTCGAGATAGCGGTATTACATTTAGATCATGTCTCGTACTAAGTAGTCCTGTATTTGTCATGCAAATGAATTGTTTCATAAGTCAGGATATCACTGCGCTGTTCTGTTGAACGGGGAATTCATGGCGCCACATAAGTCACATCGTAATGAGCATTTGTGTGGAATTAGTGGAAAAGATTGCATGAGTTCAGTGACTCTTGAGACGCATCAAACCCTGCATTTTTTATTTGGGTGATGTGACGTGGCGATCATCTGTTTATAATTGCAAACTGAGACCTGGATAATGCATTTGAAATAAAAAAATAAGATCTATTTTCGATTAACCCACTTAAATAACCCAAGGGTAAGTTAATAGTGTGCTTTCTACTTTGAAATGTTGCCAAAGAGCATTCATACAAGATGTCGCACA